AACCAGAGCTACGAAAGTGCAGTTACTTTATATCAAAGCGAGAATCCATTACTTTTTTTGTTAATATAATTACGGCATCGGAATGGGATTGACAGTCGCGCCGGGGTTTCGCTACTTTTAATTATTAATAATAAATTAGGAAATTTTTTCTTATACTTTACGCTCACGCAAATGTGTCAGCACAGTTTATAGTCAATTTCATACGCAAACATCTTATTTATTTATTAAGTTTAATAAGCAATTAATAATTCAATTATGAATACATTATGAGTCGGGAATCCTGAGGAATATTAAGCGACAAAAAATAAATTTAATTGTCTGTCCAGTAGTAGACTTCAACACAATCGCATGATTACTGTTTATGTCCAATATCTGCAAACATTGATCTTTTTTATGTAACATTATTTGCGATCTCTGGGGAATTGTTTGCCATATATTTTATGTTACAATTATTATTGCTTTTTATATTGAAAGCCATTCACTTATACTTAATAGACGTTATTCCGATACTCAGTATATACACACTCTTTGTCACAAGTATTAAATAATAGGAATAATAATAGGAATTCCTTTCAATAAGAATCACAATCACTACAGAATTTCGCAATATCGCACAGTTAGTATAGGCATTCAGTTCAATTAAACTGAACTATCTAATTTTAGACTATATTCTCGAGTTTATTCGCAATTTTAGGCGATGTTTGTGTTTTGGTTACAATGTTTTTGACTTTATTTTTAATTGTTTTTCATTAAAATTCCGGAGAATAAGAATTAGTGATTTCACACGAATCGCTAATTATATTTATATTATATATACAATGAATATAAAACATAACGTTAAACACCAAACCATTTTAGGCTCACATTAAAAGTTTAAGTATTTATTTTTGAAGTTCAATAACTTCTGTATAAAAAATGTTTATTTGTTTATAGTTTACTTGAGTTCGGAAAGGGAAAATTATTTATTTACTTATTAATCGAAAAGTTTGTTTAAGAATTTTAAAAATCAATATTTTTTTCTTTATGACTATATATTGATAGATAACATATGAATTAACTATATTTCAAATATAATTTAACAATTTATCATTTTATGCACTAAATTAGGATTATACACATTTAAATTTAACACAATATTAAAAATGTTTAGCATATTCATAAATAATCAATTTGTTACATAAAATCAATTAACAATCTTAACATTTATAAAATATTATTAATTGTACTTATAATATCTGTCGAAAATATTTTCATGTTTTATATTCTATATTAATCAATTTTATTACATATAATACCAATAATAACAATAAATTTTGTATGATTAGGTGAACATAATCGTGGGCACCGGTCAGGGGGTACGGCTATTCCCTCAACAATTTTAGGCTCACATTAAAAGTTTAAGTATTTATTTTTGAAGTTCAATAACTTCTGTATAAAAAATGTTTATTTGTTTATAGTTTACTTGAGTTCGGAAAGGGAAAATTATTTATTTACTTATTAATTGAAAAGTTTGTTTAAGAATTTTAAAAATCAATATTTTTTTCTTTATGACTATATATTGATAGATAACATATGAATTAACTATATTACAAATATAATTTAACAATTTATCATTTTATGCACTAAATTAGGATTATACACATTTAAATTTAACACAATATTTAAAATGTTCAGCATATTTATTAATAATCAATCTGTTACATAAAATCAATTAACAATCTTAACATTTATAAAATATTATTAACTGTACTTATAATGTCTGTCGAAAATCTTTTCATGTTTTATATTCTATATTAATCAATTTTATTACATATAATACCAATAATAACAATAAATTTTGTATGATTAGGTGAACATAATCGTGGGCACCGGTCAGGGGGTACGGCTATTCCCTCAACGCGTATACGAGGTATCAGTGCTCGAGAATCAGTTGACTCCACTCCAGTTGATTGACTTGAACTCCACCGACGAGATCGCTCACAAGACCTCGCACTACAGTATTGTAGGCACCGATTATCGGGGTCAGTCACTCCATGCCATTCATTAAGTTTATGTATTCTTTTGCCATACAATTAGTTCATACACTTTCTGCCCAAAATTCAATACCACTTTTAATACTTAATTTTTTATGTCTATTGAGATATACATACAATAAATAATTTGCTAAAAGAATCAATGAAATGGGACACAAGTATTATATATATATATTCATACGATAAACATAGTAAACACACAAATATCATATTTTTATGGTTTAATGGAATGACATTCATTCAAAACATTAGTGCCATTGGTTTTTATTCACCATAAATATAAATCCTTTCATTCATTCATTCACTAAAAATAAGTCCTTTTCATAGGAATCGTAGAAAAACTTTCTAATATATGAATGGATTTAGAGTTTTGCTGATATTTTAATGCTTGAATGCACGCATAAAATAAAAGTTTTTAAGATGAATTCAATTCAATTAATTTTTTTATATTTCGCTGAATTATAATACACTAGAAAATCAAAATCAATTTTACAAATACCTACATGTGATCTATTTACAGATTTAGTGAAGTTATTATTTCTAGGAATTGAGAATAAATAATAAATAAAAAACAAATAAAATATATAAAAACGCATAAAATAACATTTTCAATTTATAATTTATTTTTAAAACCAATCATAAAATATCTATAAAACATTGGTTTTAATACTAATATATACTGCAATCAATCGATAGGCTTATTCAAGATCGGGGCCGAAACGGGTCGGCTAATAGTCACCAGAAGTCTGGACCGCGAGAAGAAAGATATGTATCAATTGAAAATCAGAGCCGAAAATCTAATCCACCACCGGGTGGGCCGGGATGTGAGCAGTCATATATCAGATGCCAACTATCACTTAGCTTTCGACGAGACACTAGTGATCGTCAACGTTCACGACGAGAACGACAACCCACCCGTCTTTGAAAACAAGGGCCGACCCATTGTAGCCGCCGTTCCCTTGGAGGCAGCCTTTGGCTATCAAGTCGTTAAACTAACGGTAAATATAAACAGTTTTTGTATTTGAGGCTTAATTTACATTTGATGTTCACTTGCGTTAAAAATACATTTCGTAACACATTTTCGCATAAATCAGGCCAAAGACGCCGACATCGGAATCAATGGTGCGATTCGTTACGAAATCCTCGCCCGAGGGGATGACGCCTCCGCAAAGTTTCACATCGACCCGGTGTCGGGGGTCGTCCGGTCTATGGTTACCTTTACGATGGACGGCGGCAAACTGTATGGGTTTGACGTAAAGGCCACCGACCGGGAGGGCAGCGAAACCGGCAACTCGGCCGTCACCAACATATTTGTGAGTCTCTCGTAGTTAACGCCGTTTTATAGACATTTGTTCACACATTATATTTAAGATATTTTTGTGTTTTTAATACAAACTCTTATTAAGAATTTGGAGACTTTTTAATGTAAAAGATTTGTTTTGCGAGTTATTCTTAAGGATTATTTGTATTGACGTCTAAAAAGGCTTTACGTGTTTTGAATGAATTAATGCGAGAATCATGTGTTTTGTTTTGCAGATCTATGTATTGCCCGAAACCAAAATGATTTTATTCGTTGCGGACAAAGAGCCCATTCTTGTCGAGAAGAAGACGTCAGAAATTGTCAGTTATTTAACAAACATAACGGGCTTTGAGGTGAAAATGGCTAAACTGGGACCTCATACAGAGGGAGACCTTCAGGAGGCCCACTCGACCGATATCTTCTTATATGCCGTCAATCCCGAGACCAATGACATCGTAGACACCGAGACGTTGTTAGAGTAAGGGATCATTGAGTACCACATAATGCGATCATTCAATAACTAATGCTTTTTCTGTTTTTGATATGTTTTGACAATAAATGATAGGGTTTTCCGTCAAAACTCGCAATCAATTGTCGATAATCTAAGAAATTATAAAATCCGACGCATCCAAGGGGTGACCGTTCAGGAGAAGATCAGCCAAATGGGCGCCACAGAGATCGCAATCATAGCCCTCTCATCAGTCATATTCTTGGGCACTGTTCTGGCCATCGCTCTCCTCTGCTCCTCTTGCAAGGAAAGGTTAGGCATCTCTCGCTGGGAAAGGCGTCTTATATTTAGCAACATATCCCTTAATTACGACCAAACAATATTAAAAATGTTTTTGTGCGATATTATTAGACTAAGAGACCATTGATCCGCGATATACTGTACTCTCACTCTGAGAGTGCATTGTCTGCGAAGTGCTCACAGTATTGACAGTCCGTAACAAAAGAGCCGTTCATTAATCAAATTCACTGTTAATCTATTGATACACACAATACATATTCTTGCAGTCCTGTGTCATATTAAGCATCAAATTAATGTAATGCATGTTTTTCATTATGTGTTCTCGTGTACATTCACATCCCATGATTCACTTTGAGCTTGAATTTGATTTTTGATAATCTAATGAACCTTAAACTCATGACAAAAACCTGTCATATCTCTCTATCGCATATTCTGTCAGATATTCTTTAATATTCTTTAATTCTACAGTTTAGTGCACCTGTACTCTCTCTACTCTACTCTACTCTACTCCACTATATAGCGCTTTCATTGTTTTCAACTTTTTCTTTATGCAAATTATAGTTTTGTTGACTTTTATTATATTAGTTTGTTTTATAGAGAATTTAAATTTTTATTGAAATGCAAATACCTATAAATTGAGTTTTTGCATTTCAATGTTTTGTACTTTCCTTTTGTATAAAATACTAAATTTTTGTATATTTTATTTGTTATGTAATTAGGAAATTACGTCAAAGACAGAGCTCTTGGGAGCAGCAAAGGCTGTACAGCACTAAGAATCCACTGATGGGTAAAACATTAGGTAATCCATACGGCAATCGCGGAGTTCCTGTGGGCAATGGGCACACCAGCTCTACCTACTCTACTGGCGATGTCGGGTACGCATTGAATGCATAATACGTATTGGAAAACATTTTAATTAAATCTCTTGACACCCAATAGCGATTACGGGGACAGTCTGGCGTCGTATAAGAGGAACGGTACGCGACCGGGCAGTCGGTCCAACATAATGAGTAAATCGCGACAACAAGTTCCTCCCGACGGCGCCTCATCGCTCAACCCTCCCCGGAGTCCCCGATTCTCGGACCGCTATAAACAGAGTCGCGAGAATCTGAGCGGCGGAGGTGTAGGCGCCGCCGGCGTCACCACAATCGCCGACTCCTCGCACGACTGGTACAACCCTCACGACCCCAAAGACGCGACCGGCTCTGTGTAAGTGCTGTTCCGCTCCCATAGGCTCGCAATTGATTGACAATTGCATTCACTCTCTCTCTCTCTCTCTCTCTCTCTCTCTCTCTTACAAAACACTAATCGCTTATATCTATACATATCATGTAATTGTGTTGTGAGAGTGGGATAGAGTGGAAGATAGGAAGACATGTATTGATGAGGAGTCTGACGGTTGTAATGCTAAGTGAAATGTAGTGAAAACGCAACAACACATAGACTATAACCTAAACTATCAAATCGACGCTCGCTTTAAATAAATAACATTTTCTTCTCGTCTCTCGTTTTTCTTTTATATTTCTTTTTAAAATAAATATTTTCATTTAGTTTTGAGTTTATATATATTTATTTGATTTTCAGTTTTTTGACTCTAAACATCGTTTTTAATTTGACCTTTTCATGACATATAAGCCCTTTTAATTACATGTAACTCGCAAAGAATTTAAAATCCTTTTTGAGTTAATTATTTATAACTTTTCAGTTAACAACATGTTTATTCAATTACTTCGATAGGAATTAAATTATTGTGATTTGATTGCCGTATAGTCCGGGGAATAGATTTATTTAATGATGAGTGCTTTTGAAATATTCAATTTATTTTTCAATGTTATTACTGAATGTTGAGTTGTGATTGAATCCGAAACATCGTTTAGCAAAAGTAAATGTGTGTAGGCTTTCAACAGATCGATAATTATATTTGTATGCTTTTTGTCAATTTATGTTTATTTCACATAAAGTTTCGCTTTATTACGAGAAATACATGCTTTTCACTGTAGAATCCGCCAGCAATTGATTGTTGAATCATTAATTTTGTTATTGTTTTCACCGCAAATGGCATGCATTTGTATAAAAATTTTAATATTCATGTATTTCCGTGCTATTTTCAGAAATGTTATTTTGATTTGTTTGTTTAGTAATTTACTTATATTACACGTCAATGAATGGGGAATTTCTTAAGTGTGTAACGAATTGCCACATATTATATTAAATTAATACTTTACATAAGCGAGTGAACAGATTACGCGACTAATTGATATAATTAAGTTTAATAGTACCGTATTAATTAAAACTATTTTATTTATCGTTTTATTAGGGGATCGGGATTTTCGCGAGGGTCTGGTCGGTCGGCCAGGTCTGGCTATAGCGGCACGAGTTGGTCGTCCAGGAAATCCAGGAATTCCGAGGATATGAGTCCCGGAGCCCAGCTTTAGTGGCGCTGAGATGATATCGTTTCATATGTTGTTTTTGTTTGTTTTTTATGTTTCGTTACGACTGCAGAATTTTATAGCATTTTGTTTTATTTTTTGAATATCAGTCCTATTATTATACATCGTAACCAAAGCGCAAAAAGGAGATTTTCTTATGAATAATATGACATTAACTCGACTAAAAAAACTTTTATTATCAAAAGTACGATAACATTAACGTCAATCACCGGAGTGTCTGCTGTGAACATCAAAATGAACATTGAATTCATATCAAGATATAATTTCTTTTCTCGCAACTTGTTTATCACGAATTATAATGTGATGTTTTGATTATGTTTTCATATTATGGAGATAATAGTGTGTTTTCAAAGTGTATTGTATGCAAAAGCTGTGTTAAACTACTCATCCCCCCGTTTTTCTCAATGCAAAAATTAATTTATATTCAACTTTATGTTAATTTTATTCAATTCTCTTGACTTCACTATTATATGAAATGCTTTTGCACGACAACCGCATCACCAGACTATCATCAAGACTACTCATTAATATGACATCGGATCCTAATAGATATTACAATTAAGTTTATTGTAAAGTCTCATATTTTAATATATAATGAATTTTTTGTAACACATTTGTTTTAAAAATAAAATATTTTGTTATTTTATTACATAATACTGGCGCGTTTGATTAATTCTTAATACACTGTATATTATAATTTATGAATTAATTTTAATTTTAATATAAAGTACTTTTAATGATATTTAGATAAATTAGGCTAACTATTTATAATATATATTATATAAGAAGCTATTAATTATGATATGTATTAATAATTTGAAAGTAAAAGTTTTCGGAAGCTTTACTTTCATATATTAAGGAATTACTACTAATAATGTGAGGAATTCTGCTTAAAACACATTAAACATGATTTCCTATAGAATTCTTTATTTATTATATTATATGATTAGAAATGATAAATGAGTTCTCAGTTGAGAGATAAGTATAGAAACCTTTATTGAGGGAAGCGATGGAAATATTTCTCTTATGAATGGTAACCCCTATTAGTTTGTCTGCTTTTACTATATATTTGTTTTCTATAGATTAAGCAAAAGTCAATTTTTCAAAATCTTGTTTAAAAGTGTAGACAATATTTGCGAATAAGTGAGAGCACAGGGCTATCAATCTTACTGTTAACAATCTTATACTGTATATCCACTTTATTTGTATAATTTAAAATTACTGTATAACCAAATCCTATAAAAGTGTATCATTGAAACGATTTGTATCATTTGTATTTTATTATGTGAATGTGAAAATAGCGATAGTTTTGTAAATAATATTTTATTCATGGTATCAATAATTTAGTATTTTATTAAATTAAATTCTTATTTTTAAAATATTTTATTGCAAACATATCTGAATAGGTCATTATTTATCAGGTACAGTAATTAAAGTTTTTATTACCGTATAATTTTTATAATAATATTTTATTTATTTTAAATATATTATGTATTTTTATTTTCATTATTATAACATTTATATTTGGAGTGAAAAATATTTACCTTATGTTGTTTTATCATGTTACAATACTAGGAATTTTACGATTTTATCATTCACTGTAAAATCAAATTAATTTTGTTGTTTGACTTTATGCTCGGTTGGTCTTAATGAATCAGGGTGTTTACAGTACCAGGATATAATCAAAATATTTTCAAAGTTCAGAAGCAAAAATAACATTTAGTTAGCAATTTGTTTTTATAGCTATTATATATTAAAATTTATTAAAATTCTACATTGTTTACAGAATTATTCAATTCAAAATGTGAACACCATTAAAATTTATTTTGTTTTGTTTTCGTGTATAATCTACAATTACAACAATTCATTCAGAAAATAGCAAAATGATGTTTACTTATACATCATTAAATGTTATCAATTCATACTCAACTGGACCCAACACTCGACAACATCACTATTAATCATAAATTTTATATATGATAATTATTTCACATTTATTGATATTACATAAAAATTTAATAAAATCCTATTTAGACATGTATTGTGTGTAAAGAACTTTTTAAACACTCTGTATATAAATCTGGATCGATATATGAAAACAATGAAATTTTAAACGATATACACTCCAACACATTATACAGTTTGGATCTGAGACCCATTGATTGTGATAATATTAAATAATACTATAATTTGAGAAATAATTTTATTAACTCGCCCTCGAAATTGGATACAAATCTAAAACATGGCGAACCGATCACATAATTCCCACAGAATTTTGAATGAACTCGCATTGGGTGTCGGCTTTAAATGTGATCCGATTGGTGGCCCTCGTGTTAGACCGCGAGGAGACCGTCTGCCGATTCAATGTGTTTCGTCCGTTGCCCGCAATGCCTACAAAACAAACACCCGTTTCGTTATTAATAGCCAAATGTTTTCCAACAAAAAAAAGCACTTTATTATGCTTTTAACAAATTCTGCGTTCATCCCATCGGAAGTAATTGTTTTAATTTTTAAAAACTAATTTGTACAAACACCCGTTTCGTTATTAATAGCCAAATGTTTTCCAACAAAAAAAAGCACTTTATTATGCTTTTAACAAATTCTGAGCTCATCCCATCTGAAGTAATTGTTTTAATTTTTAAAAACTAATTTGTTTCGTAGAAATTGAAAGCCTTTTAATGAGTATTTTAATGGTTTAATGAGAAAGCGGTTCAAAATTTTAATTTTCAAATATCTCGTCGATAAATATGAGACTTAAATAGAAAAAGCAATAAAAATTTGTGTTGAAGTCATATAAAGCAATGCATTCCTTGTATTCAAATGATAAATATTTTTAATTTTTTTCGTTTTATATATAACTTTCAGAAATTCATAAACAGATGTATGGGATGAGGAATGGGATGAAAGAACTCGCATTCAAAATAAAACTAATGATAAGTTCGCTGACATATTGTCAAACCCGACGCTAACCCTTGACTCTATAGCCTTGTAATCATTTTATGTTTATTTACGTTGAAATTATTTCCTATGTTTATAATAACATTGAAAATCTATAATATTTTCTATTCATTCATCTATTTATTTATATTCAGTGTATATTTGTGTACAAAAGTTTCAGTGTTTAGTTCATAACCAGAATCATAGATTCAGAGATTGTGTACAGAACTCACACTTCCAGACAATACCTGTTTTGTTAAAACTTTTGACAAAGAATTCACTTCACATCCTAACTATTGTTATTGATTTGAATCAAAACACTTTTGTGCAATCATGTGCCGCATCTATGCCTATATTGCACTTTAAATTTTTATGTTTAATAATATTGTTTTTATTGACAAATTATATTTATTTAATATAATCTACTACAGTACAATACTTTATACCTCATACTATATAGTCTATAAATCTCTGTTTGCTTTTATCAAATATAAAATATTCTCAAGTAGACTAGACATATATATTTTATATTAAACAGTACTCTATTTTATTTCGTTTACAAAGCTTATAAGAATTAATTTCTAGTAAAAAGAAAAAGCTTTCAAAATAATATTTCCTAATAAATTCAACAACATTTCAATAGAAAACAATTCCTATATTTGCTTTTTAAAAAAGTCTGAAATTTGTGTAAACAACAAACTAAGTTATAATATTATGACGGGAAAAAAGTATTGAATACTTACGGCCGCAACACTTGCGGGCTTTCAATAGCGATAAGAAACCGATTCTATACTTCTTGTTGAAGAAACAATAGAGCATTGGGTTGTAGCAGGAGTTGGATGCGCCCAACCATTGTGCTATCGGCGCCAATATCATTAGGCATCGCTCTTGTATGCTATCCGTCTCGATAGGTCCGCCCAGCTTTATAACGGCGAATATACAGTACAGGGGCAGCCACGACATCACAAATATAATCACCTATTGATTATGGATATAAAAAACAAAATACGGTTTACTGTAAGTAACAATAAAATACAACACAAAGTTTATTAATTGTAATGATGTTATGAGCGCTTACGATGACGACAAACATCTTCGCGGTCTTGAGTTTGGACCTCTGCAGCAGATATTCAATTTGAAGCGGTTTTGGTGTCTCTCCCGGTATACTCCTTCGCCACACTTTCATCCATATAGCGATATAACACGAGGTGATGACAAATAATGGGATTAAATAACACAGAAATAGATTGGCGACTATGAAGTAGGTCTTCTCGGAGTACTCGTTAGGCCACTGCTCGTTGCAGAGCACCATATCTGGTACTGACGGGTCGATGGGCTGTAGTGTGAAGTAGAGGGCCCACGGAATCGCTATCACTGCCGAGTAGAGCCATATGAAAATGATGGCATACCGGGCACACCTTCTGGTCATTTGACATTTGAGGGGATGGCATATCGATAGGAATCTGAGGCAAAAGTAATTATTGTGTTATTTCTATTCAGTCGACCACTCGATTGTATTCATCTTATAGTAATTATAGCAGTGAAAGTGATTATTGAATTATAAATGATAAACTAAGTTATAGACGATTCTTGATTACTTTTATATCTACCGCAGTATCAGTGCATATGAAACAAATAATTGTGTTTTGTGTGATCTAAAAATATCAAACTTATCATCTATGTAAATTAGTCATAACTGTTATTGCAATCAATCTCCTTTATATGAATATAAATCAAATGCATTATGATTGATAATGAATATTTTATTCATAAGAATATTCTTATTATTACAAATCTTATTACTTTATTATGTGTTAATGACTTGTATACAAATGTATAGAATACTAGATTCTAGTCACCAACGAAGTTATATTGTATGTCACAATAACTTATTATAATTGAAGTATTCTTAAGAATAATTGCTATACAAAAGGTTCTAGTACATTCTATTGAATTACACGATTCTATACATACCTATCAATAGAGACGGCAACCAATGTGTTGATTGAAGCGCTCACTACTACTCCTATAAATTGAGAATTTGGTTTATAAATCAATACAGGATTTACTTTTGATAGTAATTTGAACTCACCCTGGAGGTATGCCACGGCTTTGCACATTATCACGCCAAACACCCATGCTATGAAATATGAAATATAATAGAATTAGTTTAATTGAAAATATATTAAAATATTATGAACTATATTTTTAGGCAAATAAAAAGTTTTTGTTGAATGAAAATAGTGTAATGTTAAAATGAATGCAAATACTGTATTTGTTTTAAGGCAAAATATTTCATTTTTTGACAAGAATTGAATAATTTATAGATTCACTGGCTATATAAAGTACATAAAATTTAGAAATATTTTGTAGACATTATTGATTAATTAATATTCTGGTATAAAATTTTCCATTAATTGTCGCTTAGTCTGTTTTATATTAATTTAAATTTACATTTATTACTTTAATAATTAGGGAGTATACTAAGTATAAGGATTCATTAAAATAATCATAACAAATTATACACAAATAACATGAACTTACATATGTATAAAGATATTCATAAAGGGGAGAGAGAGAGTGAGTGAGTGAGTGAGAGAGAGAGAGAGAGAGAGAAATCTAAGAATTGTTTACTAGAACTTTTTACCAAGAATTAAATTAGAGTGTCTGTCAGTAAGAAACGGATTTGTTTTTTAACATCAAGACTGTAATCGATAGCATATACACAACACATTCAATGAAGTTTTGCGCAAAACTATTGTATTACAAAATTTTTTAATTACCAGTAAGTATAATACTGTACTTGTACTATATGCACTTAGTAAAATTGCTAAATTTACTAAAAAAATATGTGCTTTATTGTTAACGGATATGATTATAAACTATATAGACTGAATATATACATGTGATTAATAATGAATAAACAAATAATTAAAATCTTTTACTGAAATGATGATCAAGTGTTCTCTATATCACACATAACTTATAAAAATAATTTAAAAATATGTCTAATATTACAGTTATGCTAGAATATCAAAATTGAATATTTCAATGCACAGCTTCTTTTGGTAGCTCAGAGTCATAACCTTTAAATATATTCACATAAACCATAAAATCAATCACTATTTAAGTGGAAAATACTGATAGAAATATAAAGACTTAAATGTATTATTTATTTATTTATTCTGACTTTTATTTTATTAAACGTATTAAAGAAACATTTGGGACCAAAAGTGGTCAGTGATCGCCAAATCTGGGCGGGGATGGCATCATATATTTGAAACATTGCTCAACAATTGTTTCAATCAATTTATTAACCATTTAATATTATATAGTATTTGAAAAATGTAATTCTTAGTAAGCTTAACATGATTTAAAATATTGTTAAATTTAATAATGTTTTCTTTTTTTTGAGAATTAATAGTTTTCTTTTAAAAATATTACATTCATAATGTTAATTGGTTAATAATCTATATATTGCTATTTTATTAAGCAAAGGATTGTTAATTAGTAAATTAAATAACTTTTATCTCGATAGCTGCTTATTTAAAATGTCATTGGTACCGCTATAATCCTCTTAATTGTTTTATTGTTTATCATTTTAAACTCGAATTTAATTGTTTTAATTAAAATCCAAAAGCATTTTTCAAATGAATAACATTTGTTACAGAATCTC